GGCGAGACAATCATGTTTTATTGTGTAATAGTAATGTTCGGCCGCTGTCGGCATGCGGCTGGTGAAGGCAACTGGCCGAAGAACTCCCTTCTGTTCCTGAAGTAGGACTGCACCAAGGCAAGAGTTGCAGGCATTTGTCTAAACAACAAACTTTTTAAACAGACCCAGAAACTAACGAAGCAAAGTCGGTGGTTGCCTTTGAGATCTGAGGGAAAGCGTCCTGTTGCTTTCATCTCCAATGCCAATTTTCTTCTTTGCACAAAAGCAAATGCAGAGGGTTGGCTATTTTGGCACTGTGTGGGACGAGTTGGCGATAACATCCAGTCGATCCCGCAAAGCGTTGCAAACACTTGACGTCTTGCGGCAGCGGGTAATCTGTTATCGCGCACAGCTTGTCCTGATTGGGGTGAAAAACTCGGGTTAACAACAACGAACCCCAGAAGGTTTATTTTCCTTTCAGGGTAAAATGTGGAGCTGGTAGATTGCATTCGCTCGAGGACATTCATAAGATGTTTGAGGTGTTTCTTGAAAAACTGGGGGAAATGACGTAATTCATGTACGCCATCACAAACCTGCACTTTGTATCACCGACCTATTGGGCGAATTCAAGAAGCAAAAAGGTTGACTCATAATCTCCAACACTCCCTTGTGACAGGTGAAAGCGGTTTTTGATTGTCATAGACTGCAGTCAAGCGTTGTGAACACTTTTGTGTTGTCGATCGCGTATATGATCGAGTCGATCAAAGGAAACGGGCATGAATCTTTCACCGTTAGTGTGCTGAGGCTGCGACAGGGGAACCCCAATGACTCTGGGACTTGCAAACAGCTCCGGTAGTGCTGCCTTCAGGAGAGCTCGTACGTGGACGATGAGGGGCTTTGGGTTGCACCGCAGTTGGTCAAGCGTCGCCAGTCTCGATTTGATGCAGCAGCACATCAGTCTTCCCCAGAACTTTCATGCCGTATACATAGGTGGAAATGTCTGCAAGATGCTCTACAGTTGATGCTCTTGTATGCTGGACACTGGACGGACCTGCAGGGCGTCCCGGACGCCGCCAGGAAGGGCTGCAGCCCTTCCAGCCGACGTTTTTCGTTTTTCACTTAAATATTAGTTAGTTTTGTAACATGATCATAATTCTTATTGGTTCTCGAGACCACACACAGTTCGGCAATACTTATACGTCGATAGTATTAATTGTATAATATGGTAAGGGGTTCTTCCGCGCGTTCAGTTTGCTTACTTAGTGAACGACAGAAATCAAAAATCTCTTAAATAATGTTTAAGCGTTCTCATGTGAGATTAACAAACTTATATAAGACCACTGGCGTAGCGAGGACTTTTTTTCGGAACGGAGGGGGGGGGGGGGGGGGGGCTGAGGTGGCTGGGAGTGTCCATGACTTGGGGCGCGAAGAGGGGGAGGGAGGTTCGAAATTCTTGTATATACTATAAGGTCGGCGGAATTTCGGGGGTGGGGGCGAAGCCCCATAACCCCCCCCCCCCTCCTTCCCTGGCTATTCCCCCGAAAGCACGTAATTCTTATCAATACTCAGGGTATGAGTGAGCGCAGCGCCACCTGTTGATTACTGTGCAATTTTTATTACAATTCATTTAATATTACACCACTGACATTGTTTTATATAGTCACCATGTGTTCGTTTTATTATGTTCGATTTGGTTTGAATGAGCTGTGTATTTTAGTAAAGATACTTTTTTCTACTTTGTCTTGAAATAGCCTTCCCTCACCCCACAAATGTTTCGAAATTTCCGTACTCTGTATATCTGAGATCAAGTTCCGCATCCGATCAAATGAACATGAGCGAAGAAATATTGCCTATTTTATTTATTTGAGCATTTTCTGCCCCGAAAACACATTCCCCGAAAGCATATAAGTTGGAGATAGTCCGTGCTCGCCCTTTTCTCCATGCCCCGTGCAAAACAGACTGCGTAAGCAGGGGAGCGAGCGCCCCCTCCACCCCCCCCCCCCCTGGGGGAGGGGGGTGGGGTAGCTTTGGAATTTGGGGGGGGAGGAGTTCGACCCCCCATACCCCCTTCCTCTCGTCCTACGCCTTTGTATAGGACGTTTTGAATTTTTTTTTTTGTGAGTTAATAGAGCACTTGTGGGGACAAACATTTTAGAGCGACGGCCAGCCGAGCACGTCAATAAGCGTACATAAATTTCGTTTCTTTTTTACAAATACCTTTACACGGTTGCTAAGCTAGGCTTGTGGGAACCGTGCAATTTCCTTCTTTACTATTGGCACTTCTGTGTTTGCGAAACCAGACGTACGTTCTACACAGGGATGGGCAGTACTTCAAATACAAGTATTTGAAATCCGTATTTCAAATACTTCGTGTATTTTGCATTTGTATTTAATTACAAACTGGGTAATGTATTTGATGTGTGTATTTAAATACTAAAACGTGGGTATTTCAGATACAATTGTAACTAAATACAATTTTGTGGGCGAAAATACATCCCTCAAATTTATTGTCACTGTCCAGAGCAGGAAGAAAGGCTACGTTCTGCACCGAATGCAGTGTCTCTCAATCAAGCACAAGCGTTTAGTGACTTTGTGATTACGGTGCTAGTCCAGGGCAAGAATAGTGACGAAATCGACGTTCACAGGCAGGCTGGCTAAATAAGTGCCTGTGACAACTTGTGATGCTTTCCAGCCCGATTTCCATCCATATTTTTGCCTGGAACATTCTAAATGCGCGGGTCGTCCAGAGTTTCGTAACCGGTGAGGGTTGCAACAATAAAAAATTCTCTAGCTAGTGCTGCGCGTCTTGATCGTCTCGGTTCTTTCTTGGTCCCCACCAAAATGTAATCGACAAAAAAAGCTGCTTGAACCTCTGTACTTTTTTCACCTATTACGTCCAAGCTGATTAAATTTTTTTTGTGATTATATTTCTATTACGTTACTAGAGCCTCGCACACTAACTCCCGAGTGTGCGATGCAAAATTAAAATAAGAGAGCCAGAAACCCGTTACAGGTGCTTTGAAGTCGCTGACGCAAATTTGAGGAATGTATTTGGAAAAGTATTTGGAGGAGACCAAATAAATTTGGTTGTATTTGTATCTTGTACTTAAATGGTTTTTTGGAAATGTGATTAGATTTATAATTAAATACATTTTTGACGAAGTATTTTCTAGTTGTATTTCAATACATATTTGCGTGTATTTTGCCCATCCCTGGTTCCACACCTTGTAGAATGATATGCGGTAAAACTATCAGTCATGACAAAATATCGCGCGGCTTCGGCGCTTGCCTTCGGTTTTCCGAAATGTGCGCGTCTTTCCTGATTTCGACCTTTTTTTTCTTGTTGATATAAAAGCACCCACAAGGTTCTCATAAGCTGTATTGGCTATATTTCTTCGACGGAAAGTGGGAACGAAAGGGCTGCCCACGAGCCGTGCGGGACATAGACATGCCGCCACCCTTTTTAACAGGAAGAGTGTCGCATCTCATTTTTAGACTGCTGTCATGATTTTTTATTTAGTACGGTCAAAGTCACTATGGACATTAAAAACAACTACCATAATGCCGCGCGGGCAGCTAGCCAAGTAGGCAGCGCGCCAGTGGACGAATGGTTATCGTGCTGGCTCCAGCGCAATGAGCCGAGGTTCGATGCCGGGCTGCGGATGCTCCTTTTCGTTGTTTCCGTAAATGTCGCTTTCTGGTAAGTTCGAGAACCCTGCAGGCTTATTCGAGGCTGGAATGCTCTACGCGCCGAACCTTCTACGCCGACTGTTCCAGAAGCCCACCCCTATATGTTGTGTTGTATACTGTATATAGAGGGCTCTGGGCGTCATGCAAACATATGTACATAAGAGATCACTATCTGACTAAAGTTTGTTCAGCATTCATCCACGGCGCATGTCGTTACTTGCTCGGCCAGCCGGGCCTCGTCATCGCCCGGCGCCACAAAAGATTGGCGCAGTCGACAACGGTTCGTGCTTCTCGGCTGCAGCCGTCACAGCCCACTATCAAGATTATTTCCGGAGGGGCGTCACTTGCTCGTCTACGGGATGGATACGCTAGGGTTACCACCGTTGGCCCCCTTCTTGGGGGCGCCGGGACACCCACTGATTCCCCGGAATCAGTAGCGGGAAGACTTCGACAACATTCTACAAGCGACGGGACTGGACGCAACCCCACCTGCCCGACAAAAGGCGATACTACTGCAGTGCCTGGGGGTTGAATGAAGAGCGCCGAGTTTTTCGCACGTTGGTCCCGGAGGCTGCTACCACGATATTCACTGTTGCAGTAACGGGGATAAGTAGATCGGCCGTTTACACGGAGACACTTGACCCTCTGGAGTGTCACTTTGCGAGCATCGCGAACGTGCTCGTTGAACGACGTCGGTTCACATTACAAGAACCTCCAGACGAGCCAGCGCGGGCGTACGTGGGTGCTCTCAGACAGCTGTCGAAGACGTGCGACTACGGTGACTTCTTGGAGACGTCACTGCGGGAGAAGCTCGTCAACGGAATTCGAAGTGTGGAGATGCCGCAAAAGCTTCTTCTGAAGGGGTCGCAGCTTACGATAGCCCGGGCTGTTGAAATCCTGCAAACATACGAGCAAGCAGCGGAAGTGGCCCGCCCCTACGAGGAGGGGCGTGAAGACGTCAACGTCCAGCAGGTCGAGAGAACCAGATGTCGTCCAGCGAGTGGCAGTTTTGCGGCAGCTCCGACACGCAAGTGTTACCGGTGCGGTACCTCTGGGCATCTAGCCAACGCACAAGAATGCAGAGCACGAGGAAAGCGTTGTGCGAAATGCCAACAAATCAGACATTTCCAAGCGGTCTGCAAAGTCGCTGGGCTGCCTGCAGTACGAGCCATTCAAGATGAAGACGGCGAGGAGGAAGTGATGAGCCTGCTGAAGGTTATGCGACCATTAAAACGCTCGATCTTTGTCGTCGACGTTTACGTCGGGGGCGAGTTGCTTCAGCTGGTGGCAGACACTGGCTCATGATTGTCTATATTGCCTGAGCACATATATCAAGCAAAGTTCGCCAGTTTGTCGTCTTGACACCAGCTACAGTGACTCTGCGGGACCTCTGGCAAGAAAACATTTTGGTCGTAAGGGGTTTTCTGGCCCAAACCTTGCACGAAGATGTCGCGGTACGCATCGGTTTCTGCGTGGTTCGACGAGGCATGGCATTGTTGGAACTGGATTCCGTGCAGCACCTGCTGTCTTACCTTGACAGGCCGCCGCTGGCGTGCCTACAGACAACTGCAAGCCCCGAGTTTCTTCCTCTGAAACTGTGTGAGTTCTCTTTTCTTTTTGGCAACAAATTGGGGCTAGCAAAGAACATACTGCACGAAGTGAAACTGCGCGCCAATGTGAACCCAGTGTCAGCCAAAGTCCGGCGGCTGCCCTTGATGCTACGAGAGCACGTCTCAGCCAAGTTGAAAAGATTGGGACACGGAGGGGGCATAATTGAATGCTTAAATGCATCGGAGTCGGTGTCTCCGATAGTTGTAAAGAAGGATGGAGCAATTCGTCTTTGTGTAGATTTACGGGAGTCAAACAAGGGAGTCAAACAAGTCGGTAGTCGTCGACAGAATTATTTTGCCTCTCACTGAGGAACTCTTGCACGCTCTCAGTGGGTTAGCATGGTTTTCCGAACTGGACCTCGCATCCGCCTATCACCAGGTGGAATTTGTAGAAGATAGCCGACCGATCACGACGTTTGTTACGTATGAAGGGTTGCTCCAGTTTCGCCGCGTCTGCTTCGGACTGGCATCGGCGCCCGCAGCGTTTCAGCGGATGACACAGACTATTCTGAAGGGTTACAACGGCGTCCTTTTCTACATCGATGATATCACCGTCTTTGGGAAGACTAAAGAAGGACACATTCGTCACTTGCGTGAGGTGCTGCGACGGATCACCAATCCGGGCCTTCAGCTAAATAAGAAGTGCCTCTTTGGTGTGAAGAGCTTTCATTTTTGGGGCACTACGTCAGTGCAAGGGGGCTTGCACTACTCAAGTCAAAAGGGGTGGCAATCCTCAATGCACGAGCACCAATGACTCGGTCGGATTGCATTCCTGCGCTGTCTCATTCATATCCTTGACAGTGCATGGGAAAGCCAAGATGGCCCGTTTTTTCAACAATACAGAAGCTAGGGATGACGTTGCACTATTCGGTTCAAACCACTATTCGCACACCCCTAGTTGGTATGCGTAGTACAAGATAAAAGTAACTGAATACTACTCAAAAAATCGCCAAGGACGGGTTTGAAGTGTAGCTTAAAGTGTAGTAGCTGTACTTGCAATGCGTCAAGCATTCCGTGTCACTCGGTAAAGTAAAGTATACCAGAAATGTGCAGTCTTATTTCGCACCATCGACCAAATCCTCATATAAACGCTGCGAACGCCAACTCCAGTCTCGACCTACCAGGCGCGCGACGCCGGGTCAGCGCCACCACGTCCTCCTCTTGAACATTTTTTTTTTCTTTTTTTCTTTTTCGAGTACTTGCTTTCTAAGCTTTCTCAACTGGTGAAGCCTTTTCGAAGCGTTTCGGCGTGCTCCCTCTTCTCTTTTTCCTTTGTTGTTTCTTTTTTTTTTTTTTCTTTTTTGTTTGGTTGGTTTAGCTCGTGGCACAGGTGTTCGGCAGCCTGTCACGCTTCACTCACTCGTTCGAGGCTAAATAGGAGTTAGCTTCATAATACAATACTGCACTAAAATCAAAAGGCATCAAAAGGCTACACCATGATGTATACGATGCGCTGTGCGGTTTTCTAGGGAGGTGCTGAATTCGGCGTCTTTCGTTACTCTTCGCCTCAGATTAAGTGCGAGGGCTGCCAACAGTACGACCCAATGCGAAGAGCAAGTCGTCTGCTTTTTGCGTAAGAGTGGCGGTGACATCAGAAAGACGCCGAGCTCTGATTGGTTCTGATTAAAGGAAAGTGGATAAACTTCAAAGCAAGCTGCCTCGAGATCCACCCACTGTCTTTCATTCAGAATCAATCAGAGCTTCGCATTCTGACGTCACCCCAACCCCCGCAAAAGAGGCAGACGAACTTGCGGTCCGCATAGAGCCAGTCAAGCAGTACCAAAAGTACATAGTCACTGCGTTTGCTATAAAAAAAAAATTGCGCATACTAAATGCGGCGTAATCCTTCGCTTTTTTTTTTTTTTTTTTTTGTACGGGCGTGATTGGTCAAGTCGGTTATAGCAAGCGCGCAAAGACGACCGTAGAGCCGCGACGGTGTACTTTTTGGGACACTTGATTGGCCCCATGGGACCGCAGCATTGGCTGCGGCCGGGCTTGGCATAAAACGAAGCGTGCGGAGCGCAAGTTAGCCTGCTTCTTACGCAGGCATTGCACTGACGTAAGAACGCTCCGAGTTCTGATTGGCTCTGTTTGGAAGGATAGTGGACGGACCTCAATGCTGCAGCTTCCTCGAGGGCTACCCACTACCTTCCCCAGGGCCGTAACCAGGGGGGGGGGGGGGGGGGGGGTTAGGGGGTTCTGACCCCTCCCGAAATTTTTTTCTGTGTACGGCCCTGGTCGGTGCACTTGCAGCCAGCCGATTTTAATCTCCACCTCTGCGCACGCGCAGTGGCGCCGGTCGGCTACCGGGTACCAAACCGGGACCGGTTCTCCGGTTTGCTATAACTCTCCATTGTATGCCACCGATGCACATGATTCATAGGCGAAAATGAGACAATAGTCATTTTCAAAATGACCGCCGTTGTCCCCGAACCCCCCCCCCCCCCCCCCCCCCCCGAAATTTTTTTCTGGGTACGGCCCTGACCTTCCCCAATCCGAACCAATCGGAGCTCGCCGTTCTGGCGTCATCGCAACCCATGTGCAAGAAGCAGACGGATTTCTGCTAGTTCTGCATAGAGAGATGATGGCCGGCCTGGACCCACCTTTATCGCACAGTGATCCTCCCCAGCCAGGTTGGCAGTGGCACTCCCAGGGCTTGGTGCAGGTTCCGTGCCGGCAGCCAGGGTACGGACAGCACTCGTCGCACTGCTCGCCCATCCAACCGACGCGGCACCTGGTGACAAATTAAACGAGTGAAAGGCTGCTGAACGAAAATTCAATTTTGTTCGTTTTTTACAAGTGGTGTTTGTGGGAAAGCAAAAACCGTGTTGGTTGTTTTTTTTCGGCTCCGGGGAATGCGATGCTTCCGGTGGTAATAGAACGCGTAAGTCTGAGAGCATGACGCTACCTGAATCAGAAGAAGAGAAAGAAAGACGACATTTCTCAACGAGCCGACGTCCACTTGAGCCTAATATCGTCAGAAAACGACACCGTGGGCGCCTCTAGACTGTATTTTAATAAAAGATGCATGTCAGCAACAAAAACAATTTATTTTTTCTTTCTAACAAATCTTTATTATTTCACCTATATGGATGTCGTTCCTAATGCAATTTTTGTTTGGCCCATATTATACCATGCAAAGCTACAGAAAAGCGCCTAACTTAGCCCAAGTTTGAAAATACAAGGCCCCTAACTTGGGCCTAGTAACATTTTGATCCAATGCATTAGGTAGTGCCGGATTACATCGAAGTTTCTACGGCTGTTCCATGGTTCATTGCGTAATTGCGAAATTACCAAAATGAGCCAAGAATAGCACATGTCAACCGAATAACAAGCAGGGAAGCCTAATTTTGGCACTTGTTTGGCAATTTAGGCTCAAAGTTGCCAAATGACAACCGGACAATCAGGTTCTTGAGCCTAACTCTACCATTTCTTTGGCAAATTATTACCAAACTACTTAGACTCTGGCCCGGAGAAATTATAAAGTTTGGTTATAGTTTGTCCCTCGGGGCACTAAACTACCAGAAACAAACAAAATGTTGACCCAAAAGACTGTGCTACTTAAGATTTTACGTATCTATGTCACTAAGTAGCGTCATTGCATTTCTTTTAAAAAAGAGTGCACGTCTTAGCTGTAGAGTGCCACAAGGCACCTTGGAGACTCATCTGCACTCATTGGGCTTGGCGCAGTAGCCGTGTTCGTAGTGGCACTTGGAAGAGCAGACCGCTGGACCGAGAAAAGCTATGAGTTCCCGGCGAGAGCGACGAAGAACACTGGTAGAGCCATTCACTGTTATCTTTAGATCTCTAAATGAACTCTGGGCTATTACAATGTGCCACGCGAGAGCATGTGAACGTCCTACATGGTGTCACCCAGGCTTAATATACAAGTCCCGACATAACTTCGGCCCCTCACCTGCCACGCCCCATTTTATCACAGACCGGCTCCCCAAGTACCCTGGAAGGAAGTCGATACAATATTATTTTTCTACATTGTACGTGTTACCGAGTTTGCTGCTTTGGTCCTTCCAGTTGTCAGCCCCTTTAGCAAGGCAAATGGCTCGTGATCACGCGCCACACCACACCCATCGCTCAGACGCCCACCCCAGCGCCTCCTAGCTAGAGGACCGTAGGGCTAGTTTTACTCCGTCACCAACCGAAGGCCGGCGCGGGGAAAACATATTGGACACGAGTCAGCGTCGGCGTAAGGATAGGAATGTTGTTCAATGAGCGAAGTCCCAGGCGGGCGCTGACGCGGCACTTGTGTCCAACGTGTGCCCCGCGCCGGCATTCCGTTGGTGATGAATCAAAACTAGCACTGTGGCCTTGTTGTCCAGCAGACGGCCCCTGAGAGCGATGTGTGCAGGGAGGGTCGTACGTATGTGGCAGAAGATGCCCGTCCAGCCGTCGTCACAGAGGCACTCCAAGGGCTTGCTGCAGCGGCCGTGCAGGCAGCCCGGCAGCGGCTTGCAACGGTCGCACTTCTCGCCCTGCCACCCGAACCGACAGCTGCGAAGAAAAAGGCGGGAGCCAAAATTTAAGCGAGACCCAGCCTTTATCTGAACCTCATCGGAATGCACTCTACTGTACACACAGGGTCAAAGAAAAATACTAACAGCGGAGCTGCCAGCTGTCTTTGTGTCTGTGTATGTGTGTGTGCGTATGTGGGTGTACGTTTGTCTATATATGTATGTGTGTGCGCGGTTTGATGAAGCTCGGCAAAAGACAAGACTGAAAAAAAAAAAAAACGTTTTCTCCGGAAAAATGATCTCTGACGATCAACAGCTGAGACACCAGACGCCCATGGTGGCTCACTAACTTCCGGTTGTATAAACCTACACAAAACATTATAATGCGACAATGGCGTTTCATGTGCTCACATTATCTCGAAAGTATATTCATTCCTCATCTAAGAAGTTTTTCTTCTTTCTTTCTTTTTTTTTTTTCCTCTGATACACCATTGCCGATGTTTTTAGGCTCAGATCCTTCACCGTATTCTACCATCAAAAGTGAGGAAAACACGTTCAAAATGAAATGACGACCGACTTAATCTCCACCGGACACTCGGGAACAATAAGAAGGTAAAGGTCAATATTGAGGTAGCCATTCATTGCAGTCCACTCGAAATAACACCTTCATTCTGATCCAACATGTTTTCCGCCGCTAACGTACAGCAGTTCAGTGCTTGGAACTTCGTACCTGCATTGTCCTGGCTTCTCGCAGTAGCCCCTGGTTGGATGGCAGCCGTCCCCGCACATCGCTGAAAGAGAAGAGGAGACAACAATTTTGCTAAGTGCCGATTTCTAGATCCAGCGTTGTGTTAAATCTCGGTAATACTTTACCGAATTTAGTGTTAATCAAACTTCTTAATGTCAGTGCCAGGTTAAGAGCCCACTGGGCTCTCAACCTGTCAGTAGCGTAGGTTTAGCAATAGGCATTTTGAGTGATTTAATAATCTAAAAATTCAAAAAAAGCTTCTTTTTTTTTTTATCTTAGCACGGCCATTTATGCCGCATAAAAATTCCCGTATCGCGTTTCAAGGTCACAGCGAGTTCTGTTCGCGAATAGTCTGTTCCCACCAGCGTTCGACAGCCGGGGTACGCGTATTGGGGGTATTCACTGGACGCCATATTTGTGGGTGCTGTTTAGAGCGCATGCTCAGAACGAGCTCGCATCAATAGGCTGCTAAGACCGGCACTCTTGATGGTGCGGAATGCATGTTGCAAAAGAACTGTGGAAGCTCGCCATCAGCACGCTCTCAGCATTCACGCAAACAGCTATGGCCGCCAGTGAATACTCCCTGTTTGGGAAAAACTGTGGAGCAGATCAACAGGCCAATTTCGGCCCCTTGATTGGGGCGCATTCGTGGAACTTCTCTTCCGCACTTGGGGTACGCGTGAATCACTGAGGCGTGTTTAACTGAGCCTCGTCCCCCCCCCCCCCCCCCCCCTTTCTCATCTCTCGTAAACCAGGTAATAGGGACTTTTATTACATCGTTTCGATAATGATACGATGCATGCACAAAAACGGTGGCGTAGTATCGTGCATTGATATTGGAGTTATGAAAACGATCTACCGAAACTTTAATGTGACGTCGGTGAAAACGCGCAGATTATAGAGTGCCAAAATTGCCGTGTTGACTTAGTTTACAAGGTTCCCCGAATACACCCCTGGCGTATACCGGAAGATCAACTACACTATCGTATCGCTTTCATTTTTTCCTTTTCCGCCAACTCCTCATTGGCTGAAGATCGGTCACATGTTCCAAATATGCCCAAAGCGCTTGCAAAGAAGCGCGGCCTTGGGGAGCGCCGGGCACGGGGCGGGACGAAATATTCTACGCTCTGCGTTTGCAAAATATAGACCTTAAGGGCGGTTCAGACACTTGCGTTTGAGTGCGTTTGACTGCGTTGCGTCGAGAACCGAAAGCGAGTCACCGGCACATCTGTGCTTCGTATGAAGCGTGAAATCCAATTCAAGGAATCATCTTGGCACGCGATAGAAGAAGCGGGGTTGTCCTGGTTTCTCGCTGCCGCAACGCAGTCAAACGTAGTCAAACGCAACTGTCTGAACCACAGGCTTTACTTTGCAATATGACAGCAGAAAGCTTTGTTAAAGGGCCCATGAAACGAATTTTGGGTTGGGATGAATGATTTTAAATTGGGACTTTACTAATCGCATATCGTTTAGTTGTCCAAAAGAAAGAGGCTAGAAAGTCAAAAGCCAGCTTTTCGGTACGAACATTTGAAAATATAGCGGACTATTTTGTACCTTTTTGCCTTCGAAAGCTTTCCGCCTTTTGACTATGATACATCTGCGGTTCCAAAAGCGCGTCACCGCCGCCAAACTGACGTCAGCAGAGCCCAGCTCACGCATTGGACACGAGAACTGCGTCCCTCGGACGTATGCGCTCGTCAACAATCAATCCGTCGACGAATATTTGGATTCGCGTTCGTGGCCAATGAGTGCCCAGACGGAACTTATTGTCACAGGGGAATGACAAGTTCTATGGTGTGCATAAAAAGCACGGTGGAAGCTAGAAGTCATCGCACCGGTGCCGAAGGAATGTCATGACCACGTGATTTCACAATTTGCATTTGAGTTGAGGATTAAAGCTAAGGACAAAGAAGTAGAAAAATCGTTTCATGACCCCTTTAACCTTCGAACTTGCGTGTGCCAATTAAACACGTCTAACTGCGTTTTTTGTTTTTTTATGACGCGCGTGCTGTTTTGAAGCGTCATTGAACACGGAGCCGATACGACAACGACGACGATGCAGCGCGCGACGGTTTTTGAGAGACACGGGAGGCGCACTACAGCCCATGCGCGGTGAACGGCCGCCTCATCTGGTGGTGCCCTTCAGCCTCGTCTCCTGCGAGAGCAACGGTCGCTTACCCGCAATACTTGAAGGCCAAAGTTGGAGGCCGTTATGGAAAACTCCGCTCCGCGAGTGATTCACGAGCTATAAGTTCGTTTCCGTCCTTACTTTAAGATTACTTTAAGTTCGACCGTAGCCGACGCCACGATCCCAAAAGGGCCAATCAAAAGCAGCCCCGAAAGTACATCGTCAGAGAGCTCGTTGGCTTCGCGTGTTCGCTTTCAACGACTAAATACCAATCACTTTTTAAACAATCGCCACGCTTTCTTTTTTCTGCGCGTGATTGGAAATTAGCCGGCGACAGCAAACCCAAATTGAGAACGGGGGCCGTGACTTTGCAGTTTTGGGCGCCGCTCTTGACTGGCATCGTGGGATCGCGTGCGTGGGAAGACTCTACAGAAACGAGACACCGGGGGTTGAACCCACGTCTGTTGCAGAAGAAGCCGTCCCAGCCGGGCAGGCAGTTGCACTCGAAGCTGGCGTTGCAGGTACCGTGCAGGCATCCGGGCATCGGGGTGCAGCGCTCGCAGCGCGCCCCTTCCCAGCCCATCTTGCACAGGCACTCGCCGGGACGCTCGCAGAAGCCGTGCTCGGGGTGGCAGCCGTCGGCGCACGCCGGAACGTCGCACTCCGGCTCGGTCCAGCCCTCCAGGCACTCCTTGCTGCCGTTCGCCAGGCACTGAATGAGGCGGGGGAAATATCCAGGGGCACGTATGTAAAGTGCCGCGTGACTTCAACACGTCAACACGCTGTTTACAAAGAGACCCGCGTTTGCTGTGGCGTTCCGTCAGCTGACTTAATTGTAGAACTGTTGTATAATCGATACTTATCAATTATATCAATACCCACTCTGGAGTTCTAAACGCAAAAAAAAACACGTTAAGTTTAACTTTTTTTTTTTTTGGTCTTGGGGGGGGGGGGGTGCTTTGTCTCCCTAACCTCCCTAAAGCCTCAGTTACATTGAGCACAGAACACAAAAAAGATACTGCTCAGCAGACACGCCTCAACCATGTTCGAAGAATGTTTGGTTCTTACGTATGCTTCGGGCATGTCTTCAGGCAGTTAATTGTGTGAGCTGTGTGACCGTCATACACGAACGTTTCAGACAGGGTCCGCAGTCCGTCTTCTGTGTGATGAACAGGCAGTGCGACCGTGACTTAGAGTTCCTGTACACGAAAAAGTTTCCCGTCTCCCCCTCTTTCGCCTCCCTGCTGACGACGCCATTTTTGAGCGCGGCCGTTCAACAGCTCGTACTAGCCAAGCAGGAACAACTTATAGTGCATTACTAAGAGGCAAAGGAACTGAAAGACCTCCCTGGTGTTCCAGTCCGGTCGGTTGGTGACCATGAACCTTTCCACTGAACAGCTTGAGACAGGTGCAATTGTTTTAGAGTCTGTGCGTATGGAGTCAGTGCGGACCTCAAGCTTGTCCGCTTTTTTTCTGAAGGAGCTGTGGTGGCACCAGCACGACGCCGAGCTCTGATAGAATCCGATGGAGGAATAGTGGGTATAGACCTCAATGCTGTAGCTACCTTGAGGTCTAACTGCTATCCTTCCAATCGGAACCAATCACAGCTCGGCGTTCTAACGTCACCGCAACCCCTGCTCAATAAGCAGACGAACTTGCGTTCCGCATACACCCCCCCTCCCCCTCCCAGAAGACAAGGCCCACGCATAGCGTCACTATTAGTGCATCTCCGACGCGCCCTATTCGGCACACAGGTAGAAGCTCAACGAGGAAAAAAAAGAAAGCGACAGACGCATCCGTCTTGGCGTCGCCATTCCTCGATTTTCTTGTGGGCGCCGCCATTTTGGTACGTAGCGCAGAGCACGGGATAACATATACAGGGTGTTTTTTTCTCTTAGGCTGTACCGATTTGCTTTTAGTATTTAAAAAAAAAAAAAGCTGCGAAGGCTACGATAATGCGGATTTTTGCCTGCATACATTTGATAAAGAGCAAGTCGTCACGATCAGTCAATTAATTAGCTAAAATAATTCGCTCTATAACTGGTGAAAATAAGCTCTTTTTTTTAATTAGAAACTCGCTGAGCGTCATCAAGAACCACTGCATCAGAATTTTACAGATACTTGGAGCACGTGAGAAGCCTAGTGCGTCGCTGAAGTTACCGCTCGTACAGCAGGCACAAGGCTATTGATGAGATGGCGCGTCCGCGTAGTTTTGCCGTCTTATTAACCGCATTTTCTCACCTCCAGCCTTGTGCCTAATCCAGAGGGCTAAAGTGATCGCTACTCAGTAAGTGTAGCTCATTTTGTGGCACTTCACCTAAACAAAAAAACATTGAAAACCTTTTTGCAAAGAAGCCCACGTTTGCCCACTCCAGGTCTGGGCATGCATGCACCGCGCCTAAATACGAACCAGATTCGCCTGAGATGAATGTGGCCTGCCCACAGCAGCGTCACAGCATCGGCGAGACGCCAGAGCCGCGTGTTCGTTTATAGAAAAACTCCCTTTCCCCTCCGGGGAGCCGCATGCCGAAATGCTGATGAACAGCGTCTGCCGTGCTTTCGGCACCTTTCGGCATTTGTTTACATGCAGGCTTTATTGGCGTCGTTTTTTGGTGCTGGTGAAAGGCTGGAGCATGGCGAGTGGCTCGGTCAACGAAAGAGCGCAGTACGTATGGCCGGTGACGGGTTGCATAAAGCCCTTTAAATTTGTTTCCCTTCGGAGTCGTTCAGGCGGCATCTACTGGGGACTTTTATGGGCGTCGACGGGTCGACTTCTCGATCGCCGGCTAACCTTACGTCCGAATAAAGACCGGGATGCATAAAATTCGAGTACCAGATGCTGCTCTTCGGTGTTGCCGACTACTCTGGCAGACGCGAAGTTGGTCGTGACGCAGAGATCCTAGACGTAAAACACTGCATTCTCGCATTGAAGACATATGTCGACAGTCCATCAACATGGCGTCCGGCAAGATTTCTGTCCGGAAGTACGTCACGTCACACCACCCTTGACTCAGACCTGCCCACGGGAAGAACTCACCCTGAACCTGGCCCCGACGGCGTCGGGAGCCGGACACTCGTCGCTGCAGTTGGCGCCCGTGAAGCCCTGGGCGCAGACCACCCTGAAATCCACGTCTAGCTTGGCCGCGTCTCCGCCGAAGCCCCAGTGCGTCCAGGCGGGCCCCACGTCCAGCGGCCTCTTGAGCGAGAACCGGCGCACCAGGGAGCCCTCGGGCAGCCTGTGAGCACGGTCGTCCACGGACACCCGGCGCTGGATCCAGCGCTCTGGAATGTCCAGCACTCGCGTGGCCAGGTCCAGGAACCACTCGGAGGCTCCGAGGCTGCGGAACTTGTTGATCAGCGGGCGCCGGGCCTCGCGACGGAACGCTGCAAAATGCCCACGTACATTCTTGTACACGTTGCTCGTCAAAAGATTATCGATTGCAACTAGAATTTCTCTTGCTTAAAACGTACTCATTTCGATTACTTGATTACTCGAGACGAAAGGCCGTTACCTGAAAAAACAACCGTTACTTCTCCTATTACTTCTGATCTTCAAAACAGCAAACTTATCTGTCAGTTGGAAAATGGACTTAAACAAAAACATTGCCTTTTAATAAACCAGAACAGAATCGCCGAACTTCAAAATTATTCTCTTCAAAATTTACCCAACTTGGTCTCCACGCGTACCACCGTTACAGACCATAAAGCCGGGTCATAACCTGCTCCCACATACATCGCAACGCTAAATCAACACTATAGGAACAGTGCTCATCCAACGCTGACTTGAACGTACCCTAATTGGCACTAACGCAGCACTGTATTAGCACCGCATCACTAATACAGTGAGAAGTCAGCGCCGCCTCATGACGGTCAGTGCTATTTCCAGCGCTAACTAAAGGCCGGATCACACATATGGCGCTGCGCTAAGTCAACACCACGGTGGAAGAACGGCGTCTTAACAACGCCAGAAAGAGGGCCGTGGTAGGCCCTTTTTCGATACTCTATCGAGCAACATTGGCGATCGCCATTTCTGGGGCATGAAACATGTGGTTTGATTCAAGACCTCACCCAGCGCTGACGTAGTAATCGTTTGCGATACGAGCTGAGCCCAGTTCATCATGCCAAAAGCTGATTCAACTCTCGTGTTCAATAAAATGGCCAAAGTACTTGCCCAAACAATGGTCGACTCAGACACTGGGCACAATAGCTTTTTCAAAAAGGGTTTCTCTCACTCGGGCTTCGCGCATCTCCCGGCAGGCTCATCGGTGTTGGTAATTTTCGTTTAGCGCTCTATTTATACTGTGTTTCAAGTATTCGACGTAGCCGACGCTACAACCTAATGGGATCATATAATTCGTATACTATATATACTTCTTTTTTTTATAGTACTTCGTTTCACGTAGTACAGCCGGCCGGCAAAAGCCAGGTGGCCCCAGCAGAGCGGGAGCCCTCGGTTATACCTTGTCTCGTTGTAACTTGGCAAAGGAATGATAAGTCCCACATTGCGTGCCGAAGGCTTTTATGGACCATTGCATCCCTTATCACTCGAGTGAAAAATGCTGAGTCACTGATCTGTGGGCACACGCGCAGGGTCTCATATACCGCACAGCAGAGCAACAGCGCTTGCTCAAAAGGCGTTCCACAGCCCAGCAGACAATGATGGCAGCGTCCAGAAGGCGACTTTTGCAAAGGTCAATATTCGCTACGTATGCGAGCGACACGCACATGTATTAAAGCATGACGCAGCGAACTTCTTCGCAGTAGAAGCGAACTCCGGCGATACGTAGTCACGTTCCGAATAGACCCCCAGGGACGTAGCTTCCGCCGTATATTGGTATGTTATGCGATCACGGCTTCCTGGCCTAGCCGGTATTTGTTGCTACAGACACTAGGCTAAGCGGCGCCACCAGAGTAGTACAGCTCACGTTTGAACAATGCAGCCGCAACTCCCAGTCATACTCAATGTTTCCTGTTTCAGTCGCTACTTATCGCCAAACCAAACAGCATTGCAGGTTGCCTAATACTCTATACTTCGTTTCACGTAGCCAGACTCAGCCCACTCGCTAATAAGACCAATCAGACAGCCTCAAAAACGCCCCATCATATGGTGTTTTCATGTTTCTGCGCATGTTCTATCATCACTGAAACAATCAAAAAAGAAAAAAAAATTGGGTTATGGGGATATTTATACAGCGTGTAGTTGGTCAGTCACTAAAGTTGCGACGAGTCACACGCTGTAGAGCAATTTAGCCAGTGCAGTACAACCGCTAGCCTGGGGTCTTTAACGTGCACCACGCAGTAGTGATACACGACCGCACGCCGGTACGATGCTCATCGAGATCGAAACGGGCAGGGGTCGGGCTCGAGCCCAAGATCCCTGGGTTCTGCAGCGCGAGCTTTCGCTCCACGTGCTCCGAGCTGGTGTGCGCTTGCCCACTCGGCTACCGATCCCCCCTAATCAGAAAAGGCCCAGTGACTTGCGTTTTTGAAGCTGCTCGATTGGTCCTATTACCTCGTAGCGTCGGCTGCATCTGAACTTGAGCTGAAACAATGAACAGGCTGTCACAAATGAAAATTTACACGGTCTTTTTTACCGCAAAAATAAACTAGGCATCGCCGAACGCTCATTCTCCGCCCTAAGGTAGAGCTAGAGGTCACAACCCGATGCCAAAGTTTCAGCCCGATCCGATTACTTAATCAAAAGTTATAACTGATTTTCTGAAAATTTCAATGGGAAAATGGAGCCCATTTTTGCCGTTTTCGGTTTCTGGTGCCATAGAGCCCATGTGTTCGAAAACTCCGTCGACCACCATTTTCCCATTGAAATTTTCAGAAAATCATTTATAACTTTTGATTAAGTTATCGGATCGGGCTGAAACTTTGGCATCTGGTTGTGACCTCTAGCTCTACCTTTGGGCGGAGAATGAGCGTTCGGCGATGCCTAGTTTATTTTTGCGGGAAAAAAGACCGTGTAAATTTTCTTTTGTGACACCCTGTATAGGCCACCTGCAATGCTGTTTGTTTTGGCGCTGTCTAGCGACGGGAGCAAGAAACATTGGGTATGCCTGGGAGTGGCGGCTGCATTGTTCAAACGTGAGCTTTTACTCTGGTCGCACCGCTTAGCATGGTGTCAGTCGCAAGGAATACTGGAAAGACCAGGAAGCCGTGATCGCAAAACATGCCAGTATGACGGAAGCTACGGCCGTGGCGGGCCAATCGGAACGTGACTACGTATCACCGAAGTGCGCTTTTACTGCGAAGTAGTATTAAGCCCGGTTCAGACAGTTGCGTTTGACTGCGTTTGACTGCGTTGCGGCAGCGAGAAACCAGGACATCCCTGCTGCTTATATCGCGTGCCAAAATGATTCCTTGAATTGGACTCCACGCTTCATACGAAGCACAGATGCGCCGGTGACTCGCTTTCGGTACTCGACGCAACGCATTCAAACGCATTCAAACGCAAGTGTCTGAACCGGCCTTTAGGCTTTTCGCTGCGTCATGCTCCAATATGTGTGCGTTGCGGTCGTACTCGCAGATCATGTTGAATCCGTCGGCACGCAACGTGGGGCTTATCGTTCACCCTTTGCCAAGTTACAACTAGAGAGGGTATAACCGTGGGCTCTCCCTGCTGTTGCCGGTTGGCTGTAGTGGGAGTATAGACAATTGCAAGCATGGCGCCACAAGTGGTGCCCCATGCGTGCAAGCGCGTGCAACGCGCGGGTGAACGTAGCTTTGGTAAGCTTGTAATCGCACGGGCGTGCCTGCTCGAGCAGAGACATGGCGGCGGCCAGTCGCCCAGCTTGCAATCGTCTAAAGGGCGTTAAAACTAGTTCACACAGTCCCGTTTTTTTTTTTTTTTTTTTTTTACATTAAGTTTTGTTGCGTTATGGAAGCTTATGTCGAGAGTCACCGGACCAATTGCGTTTCATATTAAGCGTGGCAACTATTTCAAGGAGTATATTTTGAAATGGTTGCCACGCTATATTCGAAGCACGGCTGTTTCGGTGTCTTGTAACGCAACGTAAGAAAAAGTTATGAAACGCTCCTGTGTGAATGGGCATTAAAGGCAAACTGAAGCAGATCTGAACTTGAGGAAAAACAAATAAATCGTTTTTATTTGGCCTCTCAGATCATTATTATGGAAATTATTTTTTTTTTCTTAATTTGGTGAACGGAGGCTTTAGAAAATTATCTTAAAATTACAGCAGAGGTTTTTCCTTCCAGGGACGTGACGTCCTATTCGGAGTTTCGAGAATCTCCGCTCTCGCGCTTCTTCAGCGCCTATTGAAGCTATTTTCACGCGCACTTTCGCTATTTTCAGAACTGTCAGAAAAAGACGTCATGACTGGTGTCAGTGCGGGAGAGTATAGACGCTTTACACACGCGTCAAATTACATCCGCCATTGCTGACCTTCTCTTGTTTTACCGAGACACCGAGCCACCACAGACGGGCGTTGACGAGTCTGCAGAAAAACCAATGAGGGGGGGAAGGACACGGTACAATCTAAATCACCAATGACCTGGCCTGCTATGTTAAAAACTGAAGGTCGGTTATGGCGGCGCCCATGCACAACTGCTGCAAAGCGTCTATACCTCGCAAGCTTGCAACTGCACGCGCTGCCCGCTCGAGCGACACGCGCTTGGCGCCGGAAGATCCTCTTGTGACGTAAGGACTAGTCAAAGGTTTTTAGTGTCTTTTCACGTTTAGTTACATCTTCGAAGGAAAGGAGCGTGATATCAGATTCACAGGATCAAAATACCCTAAAATTCACATCTAACTCGCTCGTTTGTTTTAAGAACCTCTGTCTTTACTTTAGATATAGCCACTTGAAGTGTGTAGTCGCGTGATAAAGTTCTCATTTTGTATTTTATTATTAGGCCTTCGCCAAACAGAAGTGGCCTTCCAAACACTGGCCTATAAGCTCATCGGAGTACCCTTCCCCATGGTAATCTTTAGTAAATTTTTATCGTGAAAAGGGTATGATACATGGCTATTTACAGACTATGTACATGAAAGCATTTGCTTTTTTCTTCTGAGAAAATAAATCTGAGCCATTGAGCTAACATTTACATTTCGACCATAGCGCACCTGTACATTGTGATCCCTAAAACATCACTCCTACGTGGGTGCCTTTAACAACGAAGAAATCATGGTGAATTCTCCACCTTGCCCGGAATTCTGCACTGCTGGGCGCGGCCAAGTCCTCGGTAAAGGCTAGCCCACATGGTGCGCTTTTCTCCGCGTCTGCGTCGCGTCTGCGCCTGCGCTTTGACGTCACTTCCGGCGCCGGGACGAAACGCAGCGTTTTTTGGCGCATCCCGGCGTATCTGGAGGAGCCAGATATTTTGCGTCCACGCGTCGCGTCTCGCGCTGCGTCCAGAAG